GTTTATATTCTTCTCTAAGCTGATTCTTCTGGTTAGCATTTCATCTAACATTTTTTCAAGGTTCTTTCTTTGCATTGGGTTAGAACATGTTCTTTTAGCTCAGAGAAGTTTGTTATTACCCACCTTCTGAAACCTGCTTCTGTCAAATCATCAGACTCAATCTCTATCCAGCTTTGTTCACTTGCTGGTGAGGAGTCATGATCCCTTGGAGGAGGAGAGGCCTTCTGGTTTTTGGTGTTTTCATCCTTTTTGCACTGGTTTCTTCCCATCTTCATGGATTTATCTACATGTGGTCTTTGTAGTTGGTGACTTTCAGATGAGGTCTCTGAGTGGACATCCCTTTTGTTGTTATCATAACTATTTCTTTCTGTTTTTTAGTTTTCCTTCTAACGGTAAGGTCCCTCTGCTGCAGGACTGCTGGAGGTCCACTCCAGATTCTGCTTGCCTGGGAATAACCCACAGGGGCTGCAGAACAGTAAAGATTGCTGCCAGTTTCTTCTCCTGTTTTCTTTGTCCCAGAACGGTATCTGCCAGATGTCAGCCAGAGCTCTCCTTTATGAGATGCCTCTGGATCTATGGGGATCAGAGAGCCACTTGAGGAGATAGTCTATCCCTTATCAGAGCTCAAGTGCTGTGCTGGGAGATCTGTTATTCCATTCAGAGCTGCTGGGCAGGTATGTTTAAGTCTGCTGCAGTGGAACTCATAACTGCCTCTTTTCCCAGGTGCTCTGTCCTGGGAAGGTGGGGCTTTATTTATAAGTTCCTGATGTGCTACTGCCTTTTTTCAGAGATGCCCTGACCAGCAAGGAGTTAGCCTAATCACAGTCTGCCAGCAGAGGCATTACTGAGCTGCCACGGGCTCTTCCCAGTTGCTGTGTAAACTTCCTTGTGGTTTTGTTTACAGAGGCACAGTTAGAACTGCCTCAGTAATGGTGGACTGCCTCAGTAATTGTGGACTGCCTTTGTAACTGGGGACTGCCTCAGTAATTGTGGATGCCCTTCCCTCAGTAGAGCTGGACTGTCCCAGGTCCAGCTGTGCTTGCTGCAAAACTCTGAATCCAGAGCATTTCAGATTGCTGGTTTTTGTGGAAGTGGGACTCGCTGAGCCAGATCACTTGGCTTCCTGCTTTCAACTCCCTCTTTTTCAATTGAATGTGTGGCTCTGTCTCCCAGGTGTTCCAAGCACCAGTTGAAAAGGCCACTCAAATTTGTGTGAGTTTTGTGTGGAAACCTGCAGCGCTGGCTTAAACAGCTGTGCTGGAAGCTTGTGGTGGTTTTCAGCCCGGGAATCTCCTGGTCTGTGGGCGGAAAAAATTGTGGGAGAAGCATAGTATCTGAACCAGAGTGCTGGAGTGGATGGAAAAGCCCCTGATGGCCTCCATTGGGTAGGGAGTGGGTTCCTCCAGAGATTGCACTTCCTGGGTGAGGCAGCGCCCTACCTTGCCTTGGCTCACCCTTCTTGGGCTACACTCGCTTTGCAAAGAGTCCCATTGAGATGCACCTGGTACTCATTTGAAAATGCAGTGATAACTCACCCTCTGCATTGCTCTCATTGGGAACCGCACTCCAGAGCTGTTCCTATTTGGCCATCTTGGATCTGCCGCCTAGTTTTTGAATCTGTAATTTAATGATGTCTTGCATTAGTCGTAGAAAATTCCCAGTTACTACTTCTTCAAATGTTGTTTATGCTCTGTTATATCTCTCCTCTCATTGCAGGACTTCACTTAAACATGCTAAGTTTTATTCTTCTATGCCTTTGGTCTGTATGTTTAACATGTATTTAGGGGTTTTTGTGGACTAATATATGATCACTTTTATACAAATATCTTGTTATGATATCAGACTTAGATTTGATTAAATGAGTTGTTAACTTTTATATCTTTTGCATTTTGTGAAACATTGAAATATTATTTGGAAGTATATGTTACTTGAAAGTTTGATAGAACTTATCTTTGACTTTTTTCCATTCTTACATGTTTCTTGGGCAATTCTACCTTTCTACATCTTTTTGAATGAATATTGGCAATTTATATTTCCATTCATATCATTTAGATTTTCAAAATATTTATCCCCAGTAGTTTACAATTTTATAAATATTATCATATTCATAAAAAATGCTTAAATTCTTTTTCATGCTGTGTATTTCTGTGTTTTCTCTCTTCCCTTATAATTTGTCTTTTAACAAAGGTTTTTCTATTTTACTTTTCTATTAAAGCTAACCTCAGTTAATAACAAAAATGGAAATTAAGAAAGCAAATGGAAAAGAGTAGGAGAAAACTGTATAAATTCTATAATACTATGATCAAAGGGCTATTTAAAACAAAAAGAATATAGATTGAGTTAATAAATGCATGCAAATATTATAGGAAATAATATAAGTAAGAAAGGCAGGACACATGACATTATGCCCACTGAAGTTACAATTTTGTAAAAATGTACCTACATGTTAGCAAAAATTAAAAGCAAATAATAAATGTAAAAATAGTTACAGTTTAGTGACTCATGAGATTTTTGTTATTCATTATTTAAATGGACTGTTATTTAACCTGCTTTTTCTTTTCCCAGTAATTCCCTGTGGGCTACCCCCCACCATCGCCAATGGATATTTCATTAGCACCAACAGAGAGCGTTTTCACTACGGATCAGTGGTGACCTACCGCTGCAATCCTGGGAGCGGAGAGAGAAATGTGTTTGAGCTCGTGGGTGAGCCCTCCATATACTGCACCAGCAAAGATGATCAAGTGGGCATCTGGAGTGGCCCGGCCCCTCAGTGTGTCATACCTAACAAATGCATGCCTCCAAATGTTGAAAATGGAGTAATGGTATCTGACAACAGAAGCTTATTTTCCTTAAATGAAGTTGCGGAGTTCAGGTGTCAGCCTGGCTTTGTCATGAAAGGATCCCCCCGTGTGCAATGCCAGCCCCTGAACAAATGGGAGCCAGAGTTACCAAGCTGCTCCAGGGGTGAGTGTTACTGAGGTCTAGAAGGGCCCTGCAAATGACATGAGTTGCTGCTGGATCAGGAGATTAGTATTTGTTCAGGGGGAGGGATGTGTCGTGAGCAGGGTCAGGGAGGAAATTTTCTAGGTAGTGAACATAAAATTCAGAAGGGGTGTGTGTGTGTGTGTGTGTGTGTGTGTGTGTGTGTACTTGCACATGTGCTGAAATCAAGAAGCAAAGCTAAGCCTGGGCAAGGAATGTGATGTGTCTTTGGGGTTCTTATAAACAGATCTATCAATTACCTTTGAATATAATAATTGCTTATAGGAAATGAGTGAGTTTTCTGGTCAGATACCATAATACAGGCTACACGTGAATTTTAATTCTTAAAACAAAGTTATTAAGTAGTTACCAGTTTTTCTATGTTTGTCTGTTTTGTTTGCTTGAGGGAGGTTCTTGATCCATCACTGAAGTTGGACTGCAGATGTGAGATTGTGGCTTACTGCAACTGCCAACTCCCTGGCTCAAGTAATTCTCCAGCCTGAGTATCCCAAGCAAATGGGACTACAGGTGCATGCCACTGAGCCTGGTTAAATTTGTTTATATTTTTTGTAGAGATGGAGTCTCACCATGTTGCCCAGACTGGTCTCAAACACCTGTGCTCTACCCACCTCAGCCTCCCAAAGTGCTGGGATTATAGGCATGAGCCACCATGCCCAGCCTCTATGTTTGGCAGAGAAGTTGTACCTTAGAGAGATCAGATAACTTTCTAAGATACTAACTTCCAGACTGAAGACTGGAACGCAAGTCCGCCTGACTCCAGAGCCTTGGCTTTGCTAATCAGCATCCAGTCAGGAAATCAAAACTTACCCTAGATACTTTCAAGGAGTGAGGGATTTCATGCAGGTGGTATTAGTCTGTTCTCACATTGCTATAAAGAACTACCTGAGACTAGGTAATTTATAAACAAAAGAGGTTTAATTGACTCACAGTTCTGCAGATTGTACAGGAGGCATGGCTGGGGACCCCTCAGGAAATGTACAATCATGGTAGAAGGCAAAAGGGAAGCAGGCATATCTTCATATGGCTGGCAGGAGAGAGAGAGAGTAAATGGGGAGGTGTTGTACACTTTTAAGCAAGCAGATCTCAATAGAACTCTATCACAAGACAGCACTAGGGTGATGATGCTAAACCATTAGAAACCACCTCCATGATCCAGTCACCTCTCACCAGGCTCCTCCTCCAACAATGGGAATTACAATTTGACATGAGATTTGGGAGGGAACACAGAACCAAACCATATCACAGCAAATAGGTCAGAAAGATGTTAGAAGGGCAGGAAAAGCAATAGGAACAAGGCAGAGTTGCCAGAGATCAGGGAGCTACTGTGGCTTCCAGTCTAAAGCACAGGAGCCTGTACTGATGCTGAAATGGTCAGTTCCTGCCACTGAGCAGGTGTCTTCCTGAAAGCTGCTAATGCTGCAGGAGCCACCACTGCTGCCAGAATGCAGCTGATATTGCTGGGGCAAAAGTCATTGTCGTTGCTAGAACTGAAGCTGTGGCTGCTCACTGTCTGAGCCACCTCTAGAAGTAGAACAGATTCTGCCACCATCCTGCCTTGTTATTTGGCATATATGCCTCCAATTGACAGAACCTAACCAGAGCCCACCTATCAAGGAAGACAAAGGATTATAGTTTTAAGGCCTCCATTGCTAGCAGTCAAAAGACAGTGCAGAAGTGTGAGGCCAGGGGCCAACATAAATTTAACAAACACACCACCTCAATATTACATCACCAGGCACTGAGTAGTCAAGGGAAACACTGGGTGATGAGCCCTGAAAACTGACATTACAACATCAGAGTATTTACGAACTCCTTAAAGAAATCATTTTTCTAATCCAATCCCTATTTGACGCTTGAGAAAGCTGAAGTCCAGAAAAGGAAACTGATCTGCTCAAAGCCAAACTGAAATTATTTTTTCCATTTTATAAGAGTTTTATATAATTTAGTTGAGACCCAAATGTGTTCTGATTTCCTGAGTTCAGATGAACTAGATTAAGAGACAACCAGAGATGTCATTATAATATGTTGTGTGACATATACACTCTCATTATGGTGACAGTAGGTCTTTTAGATTTTGTTCAACAGTTGCCCACACTCTCACTGCAGTGAAATGAATGACTAGGCAGCACCTTGCTACACAGCATGAAGAGAGGAGACCCATCGTTCTCTACCACCCTATGTCAGGTGGCCGCTAAGAGAGACATGGAAGAAGATGAGAATAAGTGTATGGGCCTTGTTTGTTGCACCAGTGTGATACGGGATGAAGGGACCTAGTAGATGAGACATGTGCATGGGTACTGCTCTATTTCCTAAAATGCAAGACTAAATTGTTGACGTCCTTCTAGAAAGGAAGTGTGAAGATATAAAAATCCATCATTCCTCCCAATTTTGTACTAGGTGAACAGTAATTGGAAGCATTCTAGACAGTTCCATTCTAGAAGGAACTGTCCATCATGAAATCTTAGGTGCATACTTTAGATGAAAAACAATGACTTGCGGGTACCTCCATTTTAGTCACAGTTCTGCAAGTGTCAGTTCTATGACTGATGGCAAGACGTCTTCCTCGCTCTGTTTTAGTTTGTTATCAATATAACAAGGCTTTTATTGTACCTTTTTATTACATATAGATTTATAATTATTATTCCCTTGGCCAGTTTATCGGTGTGAAGAAACAGTTATTTTGACACAATTAGCAGTACTTTGTTTCTCTCTCCCCCAGTATGTCAGCCACCTCCAGATATCCTGCATGGTGAGCATACCCAAAGGGACAAGGACAACTTTTGGCCTGGCCAGGAAGTGTTGTACAGCTGTGAGCCCGGCTATGATCTCAGAGGGGCTGCTTCTCTGCGCTGCACACCCCAGGGAGACTGGAGCCCTGCAGTCCCCAGATGTGAAGGTGCCTAGACTCTTACCTGGCTTGATATTTTTAGCTTGTGTCTTTATTCTCCACAAGCCAGTTATTTCTGTTTGTTTTTCTTTTTCTCCAGTGAAATCCTGCAATGACTCCCTGGACCAACTTCCTAATGGCCGTGTGCTGTTTCCACCTAATCTCCAGCTTGGAGCAAAAGTGGACTTTGTTTGTGACGAAGGGTGAGTATGAGCTTGCCTGACCTGCTGGACATTGAAATTGCGGTTGGGAATTAGTCCAAAAAGGGGAGATTGGTGTAGCTTTAAAAAAAAGACACACACACACACACACACACACACAAACACACTCAAAGACATGAACTTTTGAAAGTAAATATAGGAAGAAAGAAACATATAGAACTAACAACATGAGATATGAAGAAGAAAATGGGCCATATATTAACTGGAAAGTTCAAGGACAAGTATAACTAATTGTTATGAATATATAGGTAGCATATTAAGTTAAAAAATCCTATTTTCCAAGACAAAGGGGATATGAGTAATTTTTAGAGAGTTTCAGAAAAAATTGCAAGTAACAAAACACTTATTCTAAAGAGCTAGAATCATTTAAGAATCATTCCAGTAAATTGTTTAAACCATCAATGGTGAAATTTATAATAGGACTGAACATGCATTTTAAAAAAATTCAGTCATATATCATCCAGCTAGTCATGGTCTCTGAGATGGGGTCCTGATGGCTGCTGTTAATATCTCTGGCAAGGTCATTAACTCGTTTATGTCCATCTAGTGGTCTTCACAGGGTGCACATCTCTACATGGTAGCTGACCAGCATGGGCAACAAAGCACCTGATCCCAAAATGTTCCACAGGATCTTGGCAGCCTCCAAATGCCAGCACCCAGTAAGATTTAGGAGGGCATCAGGACATTGAGAATTTTTGATGATTGCATACAAAAGTCATGTCATCTCTTCTTTCTTTTTACCCCTAGAATATTCATGCTTATTCTTCAGGAGCCCAAACTGCCATTGTAAGCCTTCTTCATGCCACCACAGATGTGGAGATGAAAGGACAATTTCTGTTCTCTCACCTGCTATTTCCCGCTTTTCCAGTCCAAACTGGAAGCTGTTCTACTTGCTATTTCAAAGTTAGGAAGGCGTTGCATTAAGGACTAGGTTTCTAATAATGACAATGAGTGATTTATCAGGTTATCATGGAGTAATCAGTGAAACTCCAAGCCTGGGTCCAGGGTCAAGGGGATGGCGGCTATGTCATGACCACCTTCATCAATTCAAGCAGGACTATCATGTGACCAAGCTCCTGTATTTTGCCATTCTATATTGCTCCCTTCTGGATGTTGTGATTTTTCAAGAACAACGTAGCTTCTGTAACTCTGCCCCCTCCTGGTCTCAGATCCCCAAAATCCTGAGATTTGGGGCAGGGCCTTAGATTGCGAACTAACTGGTCCCTTGGCTCACTATTCACTACTATTTTCTTCCTTAGATTTCAATTAAAAGGCAGCGCTGCTAGTTATTGTGTCTTGACTGGAATGGAAAGCCTTTGGAATAGCAGTGTTCCAGTGTGTGAACGTGAGTAATAGGAGTAACATTTCAGGCCAATCTCTTCCCTTTATCTCTTCAGTATTTGACCCATGGGCTCCCCTAATGTGGTCCTTCAATTTTCTAGTCTGAATTATTGATTTGAAAATTGCTTATTTTAATAATGTTTTGTTGCGAATCAATGTGTACATCACCTGTCTTGGAACCATCTGATACGTCTCTGCTGTTTTGTATTCTGTGTTCTATTGTGATAAATCCTATGGTAGTGTGCTTCTAGGTCAGGAGAGATTAGATAATGTGAAGCTTTAACAATTTGCTTTCTTTCTCTCCTTCATTTTTTCTCTTCTTTCTTTCCTTTAGTTCTTTCTTTCCTTCTTCTCTCCCTTTCCCCTCCCTCCCTACCTCTCTTTCCCTCCTTCTTTCCTTCCTTCTTTTTCATTTTGTTCTCCCATCAAGGTGCAGTCAGTCTACAATTTTTGTATCTATTCGCTAATACACAAATATTAAACATGCCTTTATTCAATCAGTTATTTATCGATCACATACTTTGTGCCTCATGTTCATCTAGCCACTGGAGTTATGGCAATAAACAAGATGAGTGAAATTCCTGTCCCTGTGTTGTTTTTACTCAGGTGGGGAGGAGGACAAGAAAAAAATTAATTAATTAAATGCTACAGAGATAATAGATCAAAGTAACGAGGAATGAGGGAAAAGTGGGAGGTAACATTAGACAGGGTGAGCAGTTTGAGACTCCTTAAATTCTCAAAACATGCACCTAAATAATTTATACTGAGAGATTCATAAATAATAATTCAGTTTTTAAAAAATGAGCCTCATGTGTTCAGTAATCACATTTAGCAGTCTAAATGTGTAGACTGCTGATTTCTCCTAGTCTACCCATTTACAATTTCCCCGGTAGAAGGGAGAACTTTGCTTCATTTATTGATTCTAAAGATTGGAAAACATGTTTCTTTAAAAAACCATGAAATTGGCTGGGCGTGGTGGCTCATGCCTGTAATCCCAGCACTTTGGGAGGCCGAGGTGGGCAGATCACGAAGTCAAGAGATCGAGACCATCCTGGCCATGATGAAACCCCGTCTCTACTAAAAATACAAAAATTAGCCGGGTGTGGTGGCATGCGCCTGTAGTTCCAGCTACTCTGGAGGCTGAGGCAGAAGAATCACTTGAACCTAGGAGGCGGAGGTTGCAGTGAGCCGAGATTGCGCCACTGCACTCCAGCCTGGTGACAGAGCAAGACTCTGTCTCAAAGAAGAAAAAAAAAACCACCATGAAATTTTACTGAAATGTTTATGTTGTTAGAAATCTACTTTGACATCTTACAGTGCTTTTTAGAGTAAAATTTTAAAAGACCATAATTTATATAGAGATTCTTGCTGTCTAAGAAATCCAGTGCTCCTTGAAGCAACATGACAAGTGTTTGTTCCCCTGCCATGCATGAAGGCTCAGTTATTGATTCGACTACTCAGGCTTTCTCTTATTTTTCACAACCCTTGCTAGTTGAAGTAGCTTCTTCCAAATTCCAATTCTAATGAAAAATGCCAATTAGAAATGAGGAAGAGACTGTTCTAAACAAATCAGCAGATGCTAGAAAGGAGTAACAACTGGAAAATTGACCCAGAAAGTAAAGAGAAAATAAGTCATCAACAGACCTAGACATTTTAAAAAGCAAAGCAATCTGAATCCATTTGGAGTTTTTTGTAATGGCCTAACTATATTGCAATTCACTGTGACAGTGCTATTGTTATCACTGAGACTGATGAGCAATATCAACAAGCAATCAATGAAAGGTTTCATGTATTTAAGGTGGTTAGCACACATACATACATTGGAGAAATATTTCACAAGAACGTAGGTTCCTTCAACAGCAGTCTCCCCGGGATCCTGATGATTGGCTGGCTGACACAGGATAAGTGCTCAGTTAATATATGTTGACTAAGTGAATGAGTTCCTCTTGAAAATGGCTATTTTTCTTCTTCAAATGTTTTGATACTTCATTAAAGTTGTAAAGTTTCTATTGTCCAGGAACTGTTACTATCTGGAAGATTCAGGATAGACAAATCTCTTTTGTACTTTACAATACACTTTCATTGACATGTCATTTAATCCAACTCTTCAAAGTCCTAATGTCTACTGTCATCTCCTTAGCATATTTAAACAACAACAATCATAGCACCTTATAATTGCAGAATACCTCTGGTGAAACTCCTGAATAAAACCTAGAGCTTTTGCCTTTTTTCCAGAAATCTTTTGTCCAAGTCCTCCAGATATACCTAATGGGAGACACACAGGAAAACCTCTGGAAGTCTTTCCCTTTGGAAAAGCAGTAAACTACACATGCGACCCCCACCCAGACAGCAGGAAGACCTTTGACCTCGTTGGGGAGAGCACCATCCGATGCACAAGTGACCCCCAAGGAAATGGGGTTTGGAGCAGCCCTGCTCCTCACTGTAGAAGTCTGGGTTAGTGACCATTTCTCCATATCCGAAATGGGTTCAGAATATCTAACCCAGGCCCTCCATATTTCCATAATTACAGGGTGGTATATATTTGTGCATTTGCCACAGTGGAATGCCAAACCAATGATAAATCATTCTAAGGTAGGTAAGCACATAAGATCCTGATGACCTTTGCAGCTAAAAGGGCCGGTGAAAAGGGAGGGAAGTGGTGAGTGGTGGGAAAGTTCCTCATTAGAATCATAGGAATTAAAGACAGAAGACTGTGAATCTCCTTATTGAAATGGCTGGCTTAGAAATCTGACCTAAAAAATCAGTGGCTCCTTCCACCAGGAACTGTCTTGAATTCCCCACCCATGCTTCTCAGCCTCTCATTGGAGTTTTGATGGCTTGAAGTACAAGGAACCCAAACAACAAAGGTGGAACCTCGGCAAGACAATCTATCTGGCTTCCTAAAAATGTGAAAAATTAAATAGGGTCTTTCCCATGTCTGCCAAAGCTTCTTACTGAATTTTTTCAAATGTGGGATATAAGAAACCTCTTTTCATAAGTGTTCAGATAGGTGGATGTAAGAGTTATTCTTGTAGGTTGTCCTTGATTATTGCTTGAAATGCTCACTTCATGAGAATGTTTCAAGGAATATTTGTAGAGAAAATCTTCATTCCCTAGGGAAAGTAAATAATAAATGACTGTAGATCAGGGGGAAAATTGTGTAGGAAGACAAATTCTGTTTGAATAACTAGGTGAGAAGAAATCCCTTGAAAACATTGAAATATATTGGTAGTACATAACGCCAAAAATGACTTTTACATTTTGATAGGGGATGCAAGGTCTCTACATAGATCTAAATCTAGATCTAGATAGATCTGGAGGGAAGGTCTTTTTGAAAGTGGGGCTTAGTAGTTGGCTAATCCTGAGGTGCTCTGATGAGTTTTCTCAAGGTGGGAAAATCTGTGGAACCATCAGAACTGCATGTTTTCTTCAGAAAGGTACATGCAGGTTGATACCTAATGTACTGAAGAGAATTTAGATTATTTTACCTAGCTCCAAAATACTGTTTCTTTCCCATAGGTAAATCATGTAAAACTCCTTCAGATCCAATGAATGGCGTGGTGCATGTGATCACAAACATCCAGGTTGGATCCAGAATCAACTATTCTTGTATTACAGGGTGAGTTGGCAGCAACATCTCTTGGTTCAAGAGTTCTGGCACAGCCATACACCTTCTAGCCACATCTCAGGAAGGAAACTAGGCTATTGCCACCTGCTTTTAAGAGGCTTGAACACAGGTGTTAATGCCTGATTGAAATAAACAAAGATAGGAGATGATGAGGGGGAAAATCTGTATCCTTGCTGGAAACAAGCAGTGCACATATAAAAAGTATGGCATTCACTGGATGGGAAGGAAAATAAATCAGGAAAGAGTGTAGTAGTCAAAGCACACAAACAACCCTAGCCCAGCCCATTGCTGGAAGAAAGAGAAGGCCATATAGCATCTGTGTGAGAGAACAAATCTTACTCGTAACAGCATAATTGCTTCCTGGGGCTGCCATCACCAAGTACAGGTGTTCCTCGTTTTATTGCACTTCGCAGATGTTTGCTTTTTACAATCGAAGGCTTGTGCCAACCCTGCGACAAGCACATCTATTGGCATCCTTTTTCCAACAGCGTGTGTTCACTTCGTGTCTCTGTGTAGCATTTTGATTATTTTCACAATATCCCCAACTTTTTCATTATTATCATGTCTGTGACAGTGATCTGTGATCAGGGATCTTTGGTGTGACTATTGTCATTGTTTGGGGTCACTATGAAATGCACCCATATAAGACACAAAATTTAATAAATGTGCATGCTTTGACTGCTCCATAAACTAGACGCTCCCCTTCTCTCTCCCTGTCTTCAGGACTCCCTAATTCCTGAGACACAGTAATACTAAAACTAGGACGATTACTAGCCCCACAATGGCCTTTAAGTGTTCACATGAAGGGAGGAGTGATGCATCTCTTACTTTAAATCAAAAGCTAGAGATGATGAAGCCTAGTGAGGAAGAAATGTTGAAAGCCAAGATAGGCCAAAAGCCAGGCCTCGTGCGCCAAACAGCTAGTGAGTTGTACAGGCAAAGCAAAAGTACTTCAGGAAATTTAAAATGCTATTCCAGGGAATGCATGAGTGATAAGAAGGTGAAACAGCCTTATTGCTGACACAGAAGAACTTTTAGTGGTCTGGATACAAGATCAAACCAGACACATTTCCTTAAGCCAAAGCCTAATCCTGAACAAGCCCCTAACTCTCTTCAATTCTGTGAAGACTGACAGAGACCAGGAAGCTGCAGGAAAAAAGCTGTAATCAGCAGGGCACAGTGTCTCATGCCTGTAATCCCAGCACTTTGGGAGGCTAAGGCAGGTGGATCACCTGAGTTCAGGAGTTCAATATCAGTCCGACCAATATGGTGAAACCTTGTTTCTACTAAAAATGCAAAAATTAGCAAGAGTGGTGTCAGGTGCCTGTAGTTCCAGCTCTTTGGGAATCTGAGATATGAGAATAGAATCCGGGAGGCAGAGGTTGCAGTGCACCCAGATTGTGCCACTGCACTCCAGGCTGGACCACAGAGTGAGACCCCCATCTCAGGAAAAAAAAAAAAAAAGGTAGAAGCTAGCAGAGGTTGACTCCTGAGGTTTAAAGAAAGAAGCCATCTCCATAACATACAGGTGCAAGGTAAAGCAACAAGTGCTGATGTGGAAGCTGTAGTGAGTGGTCCAGAAGATCTAACTAAGATCATTGATGAAGGTGTTGCACTAAATAGCAGATTTTCCATGTAGACAAACAGCTATCTATTGGACTTTCATAGTGAGAAAGGAGAAGCCAATGCCTGGCTTCAATGCTTCAAAGGATGGGCTGACTTTTTAGGAGCTAATGCCACTGGTGACTTTGAGTTGAAGTCAATGCTCACTGACCATTCTAAAAATCCTAGAGCCCTTACGAATTATGCTAAATGTGCCTTGCCTGTACTTTATAAATGGAACAACAAAGCCTGATGACAGAGGTATGTTTGCAGCGTGGCTTACTGATTATTTTAAGCCCACAGTTGTGCTCTAGTGCTCAGAAAAACAGATTCCTTTCAAAATACTATTGCTCATTGACATTGCACCTCATCAGCCAAGACCTCTGATGGAGATGGACAAGGAGATGAGTGTAGTTTTCCTGCCTGATGACAGCAGCAGCTATTCTGCAGTCCATGGCTGAAGTAGTAATTTTGACTTCCAAGTTTCGCTATTTAAGAAATACATTTTGTAAGGCTATAGTTTCCACAGACAGTAATTCCTCTGATGGATCTGAACAAAGTAAGTTGAAAACTGCAGGAAAGAATTCATCATTCTACATACCATTAAGAACATTCATGATTCATGGGAAGAGGTTAAAATATCAACATTAACAGGAGTTTGGTAGAAGTTGATTCCAATCCTCACGGACAGCTTTGCGAGGTTCAAACTTCAGTGGAGAAAATAACTGCAGACGTGGTGGAAATAGCAAGAGAACTACAATTAGAAGTGGAGCCTGAAGATGTGACTGAATTGCTACAATCTCATGATCCAACTTGAACAGATGAGGAGTTGCTTCTTATGAATGAGCAGAGAAAGTGGTTTTTTTGAGATGGAGTCTCTTCGTGGTGAAGATGATGTGAGCATTGTTTAAAACGACCACAAACAATTTAAAATATGACATAAACTTAGTTGATAAAGCAGCAGTAGTATCTGGGAGGATTGACTCCAATTGTGAAAGCAGTTCGGGGGTAAAATGTTATCAAACAGCATTGCATGCTAGAAAAATCTTTTGTGAAAGGAAGAGTCAATCAATAGGCAAGTTTTATTGTTGTCTTAGCTTAAGAAATTGCCACAGCCACCCCAGCCTTCAGCAACCACCACCACGATTAGTCAGCAGCCATCAACCTTGAGGCAAGACCCTCCACCAGCAAAAAGATGATGACTTATTGAGGGTCAGATAATCTTTAGCATTTTTTATCAATAAACCATTTTTTAAATAGACATAATGCTATTTCACACTTAATAGACTACAGTATAGTATGAAAACAACTTTTAGACTCACTGAGAAATCAGAAAGTTCATATGACTCGTTTGTTGTCCTATTTGTTTTATTGTGGTGGTCTGGAGCTGAACCTGCAATAGCTTTGAGGTATGTCTGTAACATAAAATGGCTGGCTTAATACAACAGAAGTTTTTGGAGTTCTGTTCTGGAGGCTGGAAGTCCAAAATCAAGGTGTTGGCAGGGACATGCTCCCTCTGAATCCTGTAGGGGAGGATCCTTCATTGCATCTTCCAGCTTCTGGAACCCCAGAGCTTCCTTGGCGTGTTGCAACAGAACTCCAATTTCTGTCTCTGTCCTCACGTGGCCGTCTTCCCTCTGGGTCTGTGTCCTCACACGCAGTTCTCCTCTCTGTGCATGTGTGTGTCCAAAGTCCTCTCTTTTTATAAGGACATCATTCATATTGAATTAGGGCCTACCTTAATGGCCTCCTCTTAACTTGATTGCATCTGCAGATTGTATTTCCAAGTAAGATCACATCCACAGGGACTGGGGGTCAAGACTTCAGCATATTTGGTGGAGACATCATACAACCTATAACAGAATTCAACCCTTTGAAAATGTCAAGCATTAAGTGCTCATAGCACACAGTCCAGCTGTTGGTGCTCACCCTCGCTCAGCACACAGCGGAGGCTCTGCTTCAATTTCGCTTTTCACGGGAACAGCTAAGCCAGGTAGTGAGTAGAGGCTATGTTTCTACCACCCCAACAAATGCTGAAGGGAAGCTTGTGGTGTCCAGCACATTTGCCAGACTCCAGACTCGGTCTCACAGACCACAGTATCTAGAATCTGACAAGGCAAATTTAGAATAAATCCAATTTCTTCTTTTCCCTTTTTTTTTTTTTTGAGCATTTCAAAAATACAATTGATAAATTTCCTGGCTGTACCCTCCTCATCTTGCATTGCTGAATAACTGCGAACCTCTCTATGGTATACAGCAGAAAATCACCAAGCTTATGACAAGAAACAGGAATACATGTAAAAGAGACCAAGTTGAAAAATCAGGAGAAAGTTCCTCCTACAGAAGAGATTTACTGCCAAGAAACCAGGGAAACTTTCAAAACACTCTCCTTTTCATATTTTTAGCAAGATTCAGTTGTACAAATACTTCTGTGAAACCAGCCAGGAAGTTTGTACATGAATGAATATATGTTTTCAGTGTGTTTATATATTTCATTTCATACATGTGTCATATATGTGTGTATATATATAGCAAACACACTGAATGTTGCAGAATATTAAAGTAAAGAGAAGAGTTAACCAAATTTTCCTGAATGCAGTAGGAAAAGGTGAAAAAGAGAAACAGGCAGGCACAGTGGCTCATGCCTGTAATCCCAACACTTTGGGAGGCCAAGGCGGAAGGATCATCTCAGGTCAGGAATTCAAGACCAGCCTGGCCAACATGGTGAAAACCCATCTCTACTAAAAATACAAAAATTAGTTGGGTGTGGTGGCGTGTGGCTGTAATCCCATCTACTCAGAAGGATGAGTCAGGAGAATCACTTGAACAGGGGAGGCGGAGGTTGCAGTGGGCCAAGATCGTGCCATTGCAGTCCAGCCTCGGCAACAGAGCAAGGCTCCATCTAAACAGACAAGCAAACAAACAAAAAGCAAATCAAATATATAATTTATTTCGATACATTTGGTTTAATCTTCTTGTCAAAAAACAAAGTCTCCTAAACAGGATCAAAACCAACAAATCTTGCATTTATAAAAGCCATGCCTCAAATAAAATGTCATAGTATTATACACATACACACATTGAGGGAAAATGTAAACAAAAAATGGCAGAAATGATGTGAGAAAAGATAGAATTTAAGAAAAAAAAAGTCAAACAGGTCTACAAAATAATTGTGTTATTTTGGTGCCAGGTACAGTCCACAATGAAGCCAAGATATTAAGAAGCAAAGTGGGCCAGGAGAAGTTAGAGCAGAAATGTCTCTTACAATAGTGAGAGAACAGGAAAGAGAAGTGAGAAAAGCTGGGATCATACTTGAAGTTTCGGCTGGGCCGTAGACTTCTCTGCATTGTGATCCTTCTGGTTTGCCACACGTGCATGCTGTGAGGAAGCTGATGAGGTGTGCACGGCACAATTATGTTCCATTTTTTGCCTTTAGGTACCGCCTCATTGGTCGGTCATCTGCTGAATGTATCATCTCAGGCAATACTGCCCACTGGAGTGCAAAGTCACCAATTTGTCAACGTGAGTTGAAATCTCTTTCCCCACTTACCTCACCAATGAATCCTAGAGTTGTCATCCTAGAATTACAAAGAATAAATTTCGTCTCTCTTGGAAATGGGATCCTTCTGATACTTGAAAAACGCAGCCCTAACCCAGTCATATCCTAAAAATGACTCTCAGCATTCCAAACTTCCACCTTCACCTAATGCTTTTTTTTTCTTATCTTGAGGTGTAATTTATTTTAAACTAGTCTCGAACTCATTTAAATAGCCTCCAATTTACTCTTCTGTTGGCTGAACGCCTCAGTTTGAAGAGCATTTTCTTTAGTGAAGTCAACAAATACGAAGTCAGTGAAAGAAACCCTATATCCTCTCTGCAAGCTCTTAGTATCACATCAGATATTCAAGCAATGCAGCCCTTTCTTCCTGTTTATTTTTTGTCTAAACAGGGGCATGCCATCTTCCCTGTCAGTTGTTTGGAAGATGAGCTTTCTTCATTTTGGGGAGCAAAGAGGAATGAGCAATTGTAAGCTAACAAGGAGTATAAAATGGATATAATCCTGGCTTTGGTGATGGTGTGAGGAAATTAGCAATTTCGAACACAACTGATGGGAGGAAAAGTGGACACAAACTTTGTGGAAGGCTGATATGCTGGCTGGGCACTGTTCCACTGTAGAGTAGGACACAGTATTCAGTTCTTCCAAGGTCAGATGAGATGAACGCATTCAGGGTGGTATGGCTGTACATTAGTATTCAGTTCTTTTTATTACTTCTGAATCTGCAAGTATTGTGTTTATTATTTGTAATACTGTGTATCTTTGCTTTGCCTTTACTAGTTCTGCCAGAGCTTTTTGCTTTTATTATTTAATAAAGATGCTATACTGGGCCAGGTGTGGTGACTTATACCTGTAATGCCAGCATTTTGGGCAGCCTTGGTGAGCAGATCACTTGAGCCCAGGAGTTCGAGATCAGCCTGTATAATTTGGTAAAACCCTGTCTCTACAAAAAATACAAAATTAAATAGGCATGGTGGCACATGCTTGTAGTCCCAACTACTTGGGAGGCTGAGAGGTGGGAAGATTGCTTGAGTTAGAGAGGTTGAGGCAAGGAGCCATGATCCTGCCACTTCACTCCAGCCTGGGCAGCAGGGCAAAACCCCGTTGCAAAAAAAAAAAAAAAAAAAAGCTATGCTATAAGCTTTATTATATTAATAACCAATAGAATAAAGGCAAATGCCTTCTCTATATAGAGAGAACTAAATTAATAATGGGGAGATAACATAGTTAAAATTTTCATTTAGCAGGGGAAATATAAACATGGACTATTGGCCAGGCACAGTGGCTCACGCCTGTAATCCCAGCACTTTGGGAGGCCGAGGCAGGCAGATCACTTGAGGTCAGGAGTTCGAGAACAGCATGGCCAACACCCATCTCTACTAAAAATACAAAAATAAATCAGACATAGCGGTGCATGCCTGTAATCCCAGGTACTCAAGAGGTTGAGGTAGGAGGGTTGCTTGACCTGGGAAGCGAAGGTTACAGTGAGCTGTCATCGTGCCACATCACTCCAGCCTGAGTGCTGTGGGTGTCACAGCACAGTGTGAGGTGACAGAGCAAGACGCTGTCCCAAGGTTTTGTTTTGGTCAACCTGCTGTCTTTTTTTTTCCAGGAATATCTTGTGGGCTACCCCCCACCATTGCCAATGGAGATTTCAATAGCACCAACAGGGAGTATTTTCACTATGGATCAGTGGTGACCTACCACTGTAATCTTGGAAATGAAGGAAAAAAGGTGTTTGAGCTCCTGGGTGAGCCCTCCATATACTGCACCAGCAATGAGGATCAAGAGGGCGTCTGGAGCAGCCCGGCCCCTCAGTGCATTATACCTAACAAATGCACACCTCCAAATGTTGAAAATGGAATAATGGTATCTGAAAACAGAAGCTTATTTTCCTTAAATGAAGTTGTGGAGTTTAGGTGTCAGCCTGGCTTTGTCATGAAAGGATCCCCCCGTGTGCAATGTCAGGCACTGAACAAATGGGAGCCAGAGTTACCAATCTGCTCCAGGGGTGAGTCTCTCTGAGACCTAGAAGGGCTCTGCAAATGACATGAGTTGCTGTTGGATCAGGAGATTAGTATTTGTTCAGAGGGAGGGATGTATGGTGAGCAGGGTGGGAGAGCAAGTGTGGGAAAAAGAAGCATGAAATTAAGAATCGGGGTGTGCATGCACCCATGCATATGTGCCTTCACTGTGAAAAACAAGACCTTAATTAGCCAAGAAAAAAGTTATTCTGGACTCACCTATTAATCCATTCTCAGGGCAAAGTACCAGCTACAATATCTCTCAAATATATTGAAAAATTACATGGACTTTATGGTCAGCTATGCACCGCACTTTATATACATTTTCTCATTTTAATAAATGAAAAACAACACTTTGAAACAACAACACTTTGAAATTGTGCTGTTGTAATATCAATTTAATAGTGAAGTCAGCTTAGTCTTTCAGAGGTTAGGTAAATTGGCCAAGTCACATGCTCTAGCTGAGACACCTAGGATTTTAAAAGGCAAGGGTCTCAGACCCCAGAGTCTGAATGCTCTAGCTCTTGCCATACTTCTATCAGCATCCATTGGTGACCGAAAGAGATTGCCTTATGACAGAAAGCATGGCATCAGAATAGAGACAAAGACTTTAGAGTTTGTCTATAATGGTCTGCCTCCTATATTTTATTTTGTTATTTTATTTTATTAAAAGCCTATTTATTAGGGTTGAGGTCCGTCTCTGTTGCCCAGGCTGATCAATAATACAGTGACACAGTCATGGCTCACTGCAGCCTCAAACTCCTGGGCTCAAGCCATCCACCTCCTACATTTTATCCCCAGGAATCTAAGAGTGAAGGTAACTTGCTCAGAGCCAGTTAAATAACGATTTTTAAATTCATCTTGAATGAGGTACAGATTAGGTTGATGTTAAGTGGGTTCTGATGCCCTAAGCATGGACGAACAGGACTGTAAATAAAGGCAGACGTTGAGTCAAACACTCTCCAAATAATATGTCCTCTCATGACAAAGGGCTGGCTTATTTAAGGGCTTTTGTTTTTGGTAGCTCATCTTGTCTACTGGTGTCACAATAGCTGGTTTAGCGGTGGAGTGGGAGGTGTAATGGTTGACACATAGGGACAGAGAAGAAGCTTACAGTTCTTCTACCAACCCGTGTTAGCCTTGTGCAACCACTGAGCTGGGAAGACGAACAGATAAAGACATACATAGTTGGATGTATGAGGTAGGAGATGGGCAGGGCTTGTCTTGTGTTCACAATCCTGCTGACCAAAACAGGATCTGGCTTAGACAGGATGAAGTGAAGAAACAGCAGGAACCAGCAGATGGCGACAAAAGCAATCCCTAGCAGGAACCAGCAGATGGCGATGAAAGCAATCCCTAGCTGCCCTCACGTTCCCATCAGCACCATGACAGTTTACAAATGCCATGGCAATGACCTGGAAATTACTGCCCCTTTCCTAAATAGTTCTAAATGACCTGCCCCTCACTTTGCATTGATCTGCCCCTTAATTTACATGTAATTGGCCAGGTGGCTAATGCCTATAATCCCAGCACTTTGGGAGCCCAAGGTAGAAGATCACCTAAGGTCAGGAATTCGAGACCAGCCTGGCCAACATGGCAAAACCCCCGTCTCTACTAAAAATACAAAAATTATCTGGGTATGGTTGCCCATGCCTGTAATTCCAGCTACTCAGGAGGCTGAGGCAGGAAAATCACTTGAACCCAGGAGGCAGAGGGCGCAGTGAGCCAAGATCAAACCACTGTGCTTTAGCCTGGGCAACAGAGTGAGACTCCATCTCAAAAAAAAAAAAAAAAAAAAAAACCCACAAAAAAATTAAAAAATGATAATTTACATGTTATAGGTTTACAGGAGTATGAATACAGTTGCCTGCCAGGAGCCTGTGTGTTGCTGACTCTGGTCACACTGCTTGTGAGTTAGCCGTGCTCTGCAAGGGGCAGTGTTTTTCAGAGCTCTAGTCTTTTCATAGCTCAAAGATTGCTATCTAGCACCACTGGATTATCCTTGAATTCTTTCCTGGGTTAGGCAAGAACCCTTCCAGAGTAAGCTACAATTTGGGGGCTTGCCTGTCCTGAAACAGTATGACTGTACTTTAGTCATAGGTGTGCAATCAGAGAAATGGGGGGAAAATCTGTAAAACAGGCTTGGGCTTAGGAGACAGTCTCATTACCTGAATAACGGGTGAAAACTGGGACTGCATTCCTACAAAATACATAGATGAAGAATCCACAAATACTAATAACTCCATATGCATAGCCAGAGCTGGGAAAAAACTCATGCCCTGTATATTTACAAGTAAATTTGAGGTCTTGTGCTAGGGAGAATTGGGTCCTATTTCTCTACCACTTACTAGCTATGAGGTCTTCAGCAAGCATAGGATATAGCAAAGGAAATTCCCCATAACGAACAAGTACTCTGGAACTGTCCTTCCCACAGTGTGTCAGCCACCTCCAGAAATCCTGCATGGTGAGCATACCCCAGGTGATCAGGACCACTTTTCACCTGGACAGGAAGTGTTCTACAGCTGTGAGCCCGGCTATGACCTCAGAGGGGCTGCTTCCCTGCACTGCACACCTCAGGGAGACTGGAGCCCTGAAGCCCCCAGATGTGCAGGTGCCTCAAATCTCTGGTTTCCAGATTGCTCTCTGTACCCCTCACATGCAGGTCTTACTCATGTTTTTTTTTCTTTTTTTTTTCTAGTGAAATCCTGTGATGACTTCCTGGGCCAACTCCCTCATGGCCGTGTGCTGTTTCCACTTGATCTCCAGCTTGGAGCAAAGGTGTCCTTTGCTTGTGATGAAGGGTGAGTGAGACCCAGAGTTGAGAGCAAGAACTCAGTGTGAAGAATGACTCTCTTGAGTTCAGGGATTAATCCAAAAAAAGGGCTGACCTAGTAGATAAGACGTACCTAGAGAGATTAATTAATTGAAAGGTAGTTTTCAAATAAGGGTAGGGACTAACTGGCACCACTTTTTTTTTTTTTTTTAAAGATGGAGTTTCACCATGATGGCCAGGCTGGTCTTGAACTCCTGATCTCAGGTGATCCACCCACCTTGGCCTCCCAAAGTGCTAGGATTACAGGTGTGAGCCACAGCACCCGGCCCACGGCACCATTTTCAGAAGACAATGAGAAAGGGCATACACAACTCAGTATCAAGCATAAACCTAAATACAGTCACTGAACTTGAGTACACAGTTGGAACTTGAAATGAATGGGTACTTATTTATTTGGAGGCAAAAGAACGTAATTTCATAAAAGTTATGCTAGAAAAAAATTGACGAATAGGACAAAAATTGTTTGCCTCATAAGTAAGGCAAAGGTTGTTTTAGGAAACTGAAAACCAATCAATAGTAAAATCTATTATAGTGTATAGATAAGTATGTTTTAACCCAATTACATATCTTCATGTCAGGAATGGCCAGTGTCATTGTTTTGATGCAGGATTTTTCTGAGCCAGTTTGCCAGCCGGTGACCTCTGGCCAGTAACGCCCCTGCCCAGACCTTGCTCTGGCCTGGGTTCACCACAGTAGACATCCTGTCTACCTGGCCCACTGGGCCATGCCTGACTTGTGCTCTGACATGGATCCCACGGCTGCCACGACTGCATGCTCAGCCCCTGGTGGGAGGGGGTGTGTGAGTGTGGGGTCTGGCTGGCCACTCTAAGCACTGGCACAGGAGTGGGCTCCGTCGGGGCTTGCAGCTGAACCAGGCATGTTGCACTGAAGGAAACATGGTAGTGCCCAAATGGGGTGCCCACAACCCTTCACGCCCAAGGGGGTGTTAAAGCATGCTAATAGCTCTTAGCATTTGATAATGCCTGCAGCCCAACAGATGGCGCTGTGTTAACAGCTCTGCCAGTCCCATGGCCCTGCTCTGGCCTGCATCTCCAGGGCTGCCTTGGCCTGATGCTCCTTCCTGTCACATGGAGCAGCTGCCCTCCTCCAGCAAAGGATGGAGGGCCACTGTGTTACAGCCTTTGTACCTGTGTTTGGTGGGTCCTGAGTTCTTGTCCTACATCCAAGAAGAATAAGTTTATACTGACAATCGAAGAGTGAGGAGGGTAGAGAAGAGTTTTATTGAATGACAAAACAGTTTCTCAGCAGAGAGAAGATATGAGGGTGGCCCCTTAAATGAAGTCAGGGGGTCATTCTCTCAGTGTGGCTGGGTCTGGAGTTTTCATGGACTCAGAATGGGAAGTGTGTGTTGATTGGTTTGTGAGTATGAAAAAGCAGCTAAAACAAAGACACCACTCAAAGGTGGGCACAACAGTGTAAAAAACCAATTAGGGAAGGGCAGGTATATGTAAAATAGATGAAGGGTGGGAATCAATCAGAGGAAAGTATGCCAAACAAGAGGAGAGGTTCTGAATCCAGTCCCTGAATTTACCTGGAACTTGTAGCTATGCTTTAAACTGTCTTCAGCTTGAAGGTCGGGTTTCACTGGGAACCTAATCATATCTGCCTAGGATTTGTCAAAGCAGGATTTGTCTGCTCCTGCTTCTATTAGCTTCAAGTGGTACTACTAGTTGTTTATGTGTATCCATTACTCTTGGTGGTGTACTATGAGTCGAGGAGGATAACTAAATTGGGCAATTAAGCAGTTAGTTTTAACGATTTCCAAGGAATCTTTGGCATTTACAAAGTCCATCACCCAATAATAATTTCCAATTTCAGAATGATTTCAGATTTCAGAAGGGAAGTGGATTCAGTAATAAGTTGGCCATTTCAGGGTGGCAAAGACTCCTTCCCCGATCTGTCTATTTTTCTTAGGGCACATGGTTCAGAATGCTTCTATGAGCCTCCTTTTGGCCCGTTACAATTACAATGCAAGAAGAACAATGCCCATTCTCTTTCTAGATGTTCCTTGCTTTGCTTAACAAATTGAGAGCTGTTTTGCTTCATGACCCATTAATGAAAATAAGTGGGATGTCAGAGAGTCATCAGTGAAAGATGACACCTGAAGGTTATGGCTCTTGTGCACATGGAGAAGTCTGGTTCATGCATTCTGTAGGTGATGCCGGGCTACGAAGTTTATATGGCAATTATCAACATCAGCTCTAATTGCTTTGACAGTCACAGGGTATCATGATTCCTTAGAATAAATTGGCCTTTGAGTTTCTGCCAGCTACTGAAGAATTCAGATCCCTAATGAACTGAGACTTTTAGTTGGGCCTGAACCTAAGAACCAAATGCTAGTCAAGGAGGAAATGGTAGTGAGGAAGCTGAGCATCTATGAGTGAAGAAATCAAGGGAGAGATGGGAATTGCTCACACATTTGCTACCACTTTTTTTTTTTTTTTTTAGGTTCCGATTAAAAGGCAGGTCTGCTAGTCATTGTGTTTTGGCAGGAATGAAAGCCCTTTGGAACAGCAGTGCTCCAGTGTGTGAACGTGAGTAGGAAGAACAACTATGCAGTTTGGATAGCTCTCCTTATTTTTGTTTTCCAGTGTGTTATTCTGCATGGAATCACCTATTGTACGGATCTTTACTTAACTAAATTGCTGATAAAAATACTTCTTTGTTGGAAGAATTTCAAGAAAGGTCTTGTAGGTCTTCTATGACACGTGTTTTCGTTACTAATCTGTAAATCACTTAGCTTAATGACAGTGTTTAATTTTGTGGGAAATGTGTGGCAAGAAACTAGATGACATAAGGTGCAGCAAGTTTTATTCAGTCATTTATTTTTTAGTTTCCTTACCAAGGAGTAATCTTTCTTAAAATTTTTGTTTTCTTGTTTTTTCTTTTTCGAGACAAGAGTCACCCAGGACAGAGTTCAGTGGTGCAATCACAGCTCACTGCAGCCTCAACTTCCCGGACTCAAGCAATCCTCCTACCTCAGCCTCCCAATAGTTGGGACTACAGGTGCATGGCACCACACCTGGCTATGTTTTGTACTTTTTGTAGAGATGGAGTCTTGTCATATTGTCCAGGCTGGTCTCAAACTCCTGGGCTTAAGCTATCCTCCCACCTTGTGGCCTCCCAAAGTGCTAGAATTACAAGTGTGAGCCACCATGCCCAGCCAAATTTTGATGTTCTTTTATCTTCCCACACATCATAAACAATTTAGTCAGCCTGTTATTTAGCCTACAGTATTAAATGACATAGGACTTCCCATGTGCCATAACTTTCCATGTGTAGAAAAAGCAATGAACCATGAATGAATAGTGAAGATGCCTCCCTACTTTCCTGGAGTGTATTTTCTTATTGGGAAGTGGACTATGAACAAGAAAATAAATAAGTAAACAAAATTCTACAAATTATAACATATAAAATGGTAAATAGGGATATGTTATAGAGAAAATAAAACAGAGTTACATGGTAGATTAATACGGTGGAAGGAGCTGGGATAATGCATCAGTGTCTGGCATGATGAGATGTCCTACGTTTCCAAATCATGCGCTTAAATTAAATATGCGAAAATTATAATATATAAAATGATAGTTAAATAGGGATATGTTGGAGAGAAGATAAAACAGAGTTACAGGGTAAATTAGTATGGTGGAAGGAGCTAGGGTGATGAATCAGTGTCTGAAGAGGTGACCTAAGTTTCCAAACCATCCACTTAAATAAAAAATGCCAAAATTCAGAAACTGGTAGATAAAAGTATGTTTTATATACCAAGACATTACTGATTTATCCTATTCTGTCTACTAGAGCAAGGCAAAAATTTTTTAAGCCTTTTTTTCCTGATGATTGAAAAAATGTTTATTTTAATTTGTATTGTTAAAATAACTTACAGAAATTAATTCGGATACCTTATGGGGAGTATTATGGTGAAGAACATTCAATACCTGAGGAAACTCAAGTATTCAATAAACTCAACCTTACAGAGACCCATAGAGCCGAAAATAAATATATAAATAAACTTAGGAAAAACACAAGTAAAATTCAAGCATGAGAATTTAATCAGTGTTTGATGTACTAATTCTGATATACTTGGGCATCTCTTCCCAAATTCATTTAGAAGCATCAGTTGATTTTAGGGAAGGAACTGTTCTAAGCAGACTAAAAGGAGGAAGAAATGATGGCTAAAAATTTGGAAGAAAGAAAAAAAGGCCCTTTGCCACCATTTAATCTTGGTAAAAAGAGCCTTACCAGTGTAGTCTGATGACACCACTAGATAGTTGGTATTGGTACTAATAGCAGTGGTCTTGAATCACCAAGAAACACTTACATTGCTAAAGATGATAGTGCATGTTTATTAAAGTTCATAGATTTCCTTGGAACTTATGGTTTCTGATGGTCAACACTTTGTCTCTCTTGAACCTCATTGTCAACCCAGGAATCTTACTATGCCTGATGTAAAGTAGGCAACTAAATGGGTGTTGTTAAAAATAATTACTTCCCAAATTCATTATGAACATAGCTACCTGGATGGTACACAAACACCATCGTTGGGCTTTTGCAATAGATATTATAATTTAGGTCTCACATCAGTTAGTTCCTTCTCAACAAAAGCCTTACAGATTTAAATTTCATCCACCTTAGTTATATTTTTTTCTAAAAGTAAAAGATTTATTCATAGCACAGTCACAGGTCACCATGATTTCGGTCAACTTAATTGAAACTCTAATAGAACTTAAAGCTCTTATTTTCTTTCTAGAAATATTTTGTCCAAATCCTCCAGCTATCTTTAATGGGAGTCACACAGAAACTCCCCTTGGAGATATTCCCTATGGAAAAGAAGTATCTTACACATGCGACCCCCACCCAGGCAGAGGGATGACCTTCAACCTCATTGGGGAGAGCACCATCCGCTGCACAAGTGACCCTCAAGGGAATGGGATTTGGAGCAGCCCCGCCCCTCGCTGTGAACTTTCTGCTCCTGCTGGTCAGTATCTGCTTCCACACATCCTAAATGGGTTCAGAATATCTAGGTGACAACTTTCATTTTTCTATAGAGACAGTCATTTTTGCTTGTGAAAATGGTTTTGCTATGACTGTCAGAGACAAAACTACATCCCAAGTGAGTGAAAAATGGGTTCTAGATAGGCGCACCGTGTCTCAATTCTTGGTATTCTGATGACCCTTCGTGTGGGGTGAGGAGTGAGGGATGGTAAGGAGGGAAGGGGGTGGACAGTGAAGAGAATTGGTGAGGTCCACATTTTGCAGAGAATGTTTTCGAAGTACTGAAAACAAATGCTAAAGAAAATACTCTTTGATTCCTCCTCTGCTACTATGAGTTGTCTGTATCCTGGATAGATGGATGTGTTGCACAAAAAGTACACAATGATGAAGTAGTTTACTTCAGAACTGATAACGCTATAAAGTAATTTAAGAAACTCAGATGTAGGGATTTATACTTTTTATGTTGTATCTAGGTGTTTTCTCAAGCCACTGACTATGTTTGGTTGGTGCGTCACCTCACCATTAACAAAGGGAACTCAGGAGGCCTTGGAAGATCAGAGTTTAAGATCGTACTCTTAACCTCCATAGCTCATTCCTTTGATGTATTAGTTTGGCTTTAAACGACAGTACCTGATTACTATACGTGCATTGTGGCTGTGACTGCCCACACCAGGTCCATCCTCCAGGGAGGACCAAACACCATTAAATCATAAAAGGTGTTGACATTTTAATTTTTTTTTTTTTTAGACAGAGTCTCACACTGTTGCCCAGGCTGGAGTGCAATTGTGCAATCTTGGCTCACTGCAACCTCCAACTCCTGGGTTCAAGCAATTCTCCTGCCTCAGCCTCCCGAGTAGCTGGGATTACAGGCGCTCATCACCATACCTGGCAAATTTTTGTATTCTTTAGTAGAGACAGGGTTTCACAATGTTGGCCAGGATAGTCTCTAACTGCTGACCTCAGGTAATCTACCCTCCTCGACTTCCCAAAATGCTGGGATTACAGACGTGAGCGTTGTGTTGACTTTTTTGACCTGTTGGCCAATTTGGCAGAGCTTCTTTATGTTGAAAAATAACTAAGCCAGGAGATAGATGAGATATATATGGGAAACACAGCGAAGGGTTAGTAGTGTTATCATATAGGTAGCAATAGTGGTGGTTGTGGTACTAGTTGTGAAAGTTAACATATAATGAATACTTAGTACCACTGTTAAAAGATAGATAAGCCGGACGTGGTGGCTTACATCTGTAACACCACACTTTGGGAGGCCAAAGTGAGAGGATCACTTGAGCCCAGGAGTTCAAGAGCAACCTGGGCAGTATACTGAAGCTCTGTCTCCACAAAATATAAAAAATTAGCCAGGCGTTGTAGTGCATGCTTGTAGTCTCAGCTCCTCAGGAGTTCGGGTGTGAGAATCCCCTGAGCCTGGGAGGTCGAGGCTGCAGTGAGCTGAGATCACAACACTGCACTCCAGCCTGGATGATGAGCAAGACTCTGTCTCAAAAAAAATAATAAAAAATAAAAATAAAAGATAGCTTCTAATTTAATTACACAACAACCTACGGGGAGGGTAGTATTCTTGTTATCACATTTTATAGGTGTAGAAACTGAGACACGGAGAGTTTAGGTAACTTGCACAAGAACATTGCCTGGGTTCAGCTAGGCAATCTACTCATCTGTAGAGACTGTGCACTTCAACAATAAAAAAAAATGTACAAAGGATCTCAATATATAATTCAACAAGAGAGAATATTTAAATATTATCATAATGAAATGGAAAGCTAACGGGCCAAGGTCCCAAACACCGGATAACAGGCAATTCTTCAGATGAATGAAGAAGATACATACAAAGAATCAGAATGGGCTAAATAACTGTTAACCAGCAGGTTCTTGGAACTCAGACTTTAGTGTAGACTCCTCATGAATTGGGATGGACCACAGAGAAACTCCTTTTGTCTCTCTGAATTAACACTCAGACTAAAAGCAGTCCCTTTTGCCTTCTTTTTTCTAGTCTCTACCCTATCTAGTCTTGGCCTTTGACATCTTACTGCATTGTAGTAAGAAAAGGCAAAGAAAGTTTCACGATCTTAGAGACCACGGAAACAGAGAGAAGAAATAAAATCCAGTATTCTTCCCTAAAGCTTGGGATAGATTGCTTAAGATACCAGTCCTGAATTTTCCTAAAATGAAAGATGAGGAAGTAATCTGGGAAGGTGGTCCAGGCTTGGAGTGACATGCCATAGAGGGTTTTGAAACAAAATAGCAATCCAAAGAGAAAAAGGAACCTCTGGGTACAAGTATCATAGAAGGAAGAATTTCTTGGGATACTCAGATGCCCTGTCTCTTCATTTCAATGGGCCATTTATAGCAGAGGCCTGATTCATTTCAACATCTTCCTCAGAGCAAGGGGTAATCTCCAGGTCCTCTTTAAAGCCAGAATTAAGACGTATAACCCATATGTACATTGTCTCAAGACTAATTAGCATGGTGTTGCATGCTAGACAAATAAGTTCAACTCCAGAAAATAGGTAAAACCTAAAAGCAGTTTTTACTTGAATGTCTTTGAGAGGCATAAGGAAAAATTACACTATATGACACTCATAAAAATGTCCCCAAATCCTCTTTAACCATTTCCATTACCCAGCATCCCATTCATTAAAGCAACTGCTTTCCTAGAACCTAGCTTCTCTCAGCTCCCCCCAGACTGTCTCTCAATATTACCCCCGCCTTCTGGACCTTCTTAGTTCACAAAATATCTCCATGACATTTCTAAGGTAAATGGAGTTTCTTCAGTTCTGCATAGTTCAACACAACATAGCCCTGAACGTTTCTGCAGGGAAATGCAGAAACTAACTCAGGACGCAAGATTTAGAGAAATGGTGTAAATATCCTTCTGCCTTGGCACATAAATACATAGAAACTGTTTAACCTCACTGAACTAAAGAAATGCAAAATCACAAGGTACTATGTTTTTAATTTTCCACTAAGTCAATGACAGAAAGGTTTTTATGTGAACAACCAATAAAAAGTGAGGATGTGATGAAACTGATTTTGTTGTATGTTGAAAGTACTATGGTAAATTGGCAAAATCGCTTATGAAAAACAATTATGCAATGTACGTGGAATAATACAACTATTCCTGCCAGTTAGCCCACCTAAAAGTCAATCTAAAGAAATAATGTAAAATATAAAAATATTGTATGCATTTTATTAAGGGTTTTATGAAAAATAAAACTAGAAATAATGTAAATGCACAACAGAAGTTATTGAATACACTATGATGCATCTACTAGATTATATTACTTTGCCATTGTTGTAACTTTATTTCTAGTATATAAATATGTGAAAACACACATATGAAAAAATGTGCCAGAAGAGAATGTATCAAAACATTTTTTGGGTACTAGGGTTTGGGGTGATTTTTTTCTTTGCTTCTGTAATTATATTGCTTTTATGACCAAAATAGTCATTTTTAAAAAGTCTTTTCAGCCAGGCATGGTGGCTCACACTTATAATCTGAGTACTTTGGAAGGCTGAGGCGGAGGAATCACTTGAAGTCAGGCAATCGAGACCATCCTGGTCAACATGATGAAACCCCATCTCTAC